TCATCCATTTTATTTCTGAAGATCCACTTTGTGCCAATAATTGTTTTGTTGGTTGGTCGGGGGACCAGTCTCCAAACTTTGTTATGCTCGAACTGCAGTAGTTCTTCTTGCATGACATTGATCCAGCTAGGATCATCAAGAGCTTCTTCAATCCTTTTAGGCTCGATGAGAGATAGAAAATTGACATACAAACAGATATTACCAGCACCACGACGTGTTTGGACACCTGCTTGCTGATCACCAATCATTTACTCTATTGGGTGATCTCTTGTCCACTTAGTGGCAGGAGGAAGAGAAAGAGGAAGAGGGAGAGAGGTAGAGGCACCGTCAGCATTCGTCAGAGGATTGGAATAGACAACTACTGAGGTTGGGTCACCGACGTCCCTAGTAGAAGAAATAGGAACATTGACACCAGTTGAGGGTTCCACACAGGAAAGAGGTGCCGGATCGGTTGGTTCTTGTTCAGGACAGACCGATGGGATATACATGTTGAATGAAAGATCTTCATTCTCATCTTCCTCAACAGGTGGAACATCATTTCCATTAGAATGTGAAGATCCACCGAGTGGAGTTGAATTCTCAGAGGAGTGAGATTCCAACCACTTATTGAGCTCAAGATCATCACTTTGGAATGATGATGTTACAGGCACCGATCCAGATTCATCAAATCTGACATTGACAGATTCATCAATGCACTGACGACGTAAGTTGTACACACAGTAGGCTTTAGAGAAGAGAGAGTAACCAACAAAGATTCCTTCTTCAGATTTAGAATCAAACTTTCCTAACTGATCTCTGTCATTCAGAATATAGCATGCACTACCAAACACATGAAGGAAGCTGATGTTTGGTTTTCTACCATGAAATATTTCATAAGCAGTCTTATTGTGTCTTTTCACAATTATACACCTATTTTGAGTAAAGCATGCTGTATTGACAGCTTCAGCCCAAAAATAGGTCGGAAGACTTGCTTCACTTAGCATTGAACGTGCAGCTTCACATAGTGTATGATTTCTCCTTTCAATAACTCCGTTATGCTGTGGAGTCCGAACTGCTGAGAAATTTTGAGAAATACCCTTGTCATCAAAGAAGCTTTCAAGAACACTGTTTTTGAATTCAGTGTCGTTKTCACTTCGAATTGAWCTGACAAGTTAACCATTCAAGACTTCAGTCCGCTTCACAAATTTGATAATTTCTTCAGCTGCATCACTCTTGTGTTGAAGAAAGAAGACCCAAGTATATCTTGAATACTCATCCACAATAACAAGAGTATAACGTTTTCCACCCAGACTTTGAACACTCACAGGACCACAGAGATCCATGTGGAGCATGTGCAAAGGAGTAGAAATAGAAGAGCACATCTTGGACTTGAAACTTGCTTTGGTTTGCTTGCCTTTTTCACAAGCAGCACACAGCTTCAGTTTGGCATATGACATTTTCGAAAGTCCAATAACCAGATCTTTACTAGAAAGATTGTTGATGGTTTTGAAGTTGAGATGGGACAACCTTTTATGCCATAGCCAATTTTGATCAGCAATAGCCTCGGAGTATAAACAGATGTTGGTGTCGGAAGAGCTAGAAGAATCCATGTTGATCACATAGACATTATCCTTTCGGACACCAGTTAATACCTTGTTGCTAGAAGAGTCAAGAATAGCACACTAGTTTTCTTCAAACTTCACAATGAAGTTGAGATCACATAGTTGACTGATGCTTAACAGATTATGCTTCAGTCCATCCACATAAGCTACTCGGTTGAAGGTAAACGAGTCGTTAGAAAGAACACCATATCCTCTAGTAGTACCTCTGGCATTATCTCCAAAGGTTACAGAAGGACCAGGTTCAGACACATAGTTGATTAACAGGGACTTGTTTCCAGTCATGTGTCTTGAACATCCACTGCCCAAGTACCATATCTGTCGGTGTCCTAAGCCCTGCAAACACAGATAAATCAGTTTTTAGGTACCCATTTTGCAATGGGTCCATTGGGGTTAGGAGTATCTTCTTTCTCTTTTCTTACTGGCCTAGAGATTCTTTCCTTGGGACAGTTCTTGGCCATGTGAAAAGTGTYACCACAGTTATAACATTTTCTATAAGTAAACACAGGTTTAATAGGAATTAAAAGTGTGTGCTTAACAGTGTTAACATGCTTTTTGGATTTCTTGAGAGAAGAAGAAGCTTTGGAAGGAAGGACAGAGGAAAA